AGATTGAATAGATGAGACTATAGGAAGATCACATCACTTTCATTATTGTTCTGATAAACGAACGTAACTAAAAACATTATGTTCTATTTTGCAGTGGAAAAGAAAAGTTGAACTATTCTTGTTGTTTGGAAGTTTATTTGAACGTTGTATTACTTACTGCTCACCATGTTTCAAAGTTTATCATGTTATGTGACTGTATTAATCTCACATAAATATCAAGCACACTCGAAGTGTGTTTTCTTTTTCATTCCGGAATGAAATAAACTTACCGCGTGATTTTTTTCACGAAACGAGATGACCAAATCACTCTCGAATGATTAGATACATTTTTTCATCAGTTATTCAAAGAAGAGTGAAGTTTGACATCTTTCAGATATGCAAGATTATCAAAAAATCGAAACGGATTAATTATACTAAACCAGAATGCAATCATTTTAAAGAGTTCCTGTTATTTTTCATTAAAACAATATTTTTTCAATTTCACAATATTTCCCTTGTCTAATCCATATTCACACCTGTGTTGGTTACTGTTCTCTCTTCGATATTGGCTGAAACGGGCGCTTGCCAAATAATTATTGATAAATGCACTGTCGATGTCGTCTGGTTGTTTCGATAGTTCTCCATGACATCTCAAATAATTCACGTCTTTCATTGACCTGCTTCTACTTCAAAAGTATTTATGATTTCATCTTGAAAGTGCCAGAGCCTTCCATGGATGTCTGATGAGATCGAAAACATTTATCTCTCCCAGGTTTTCTACACTACAGGATTTGGCAAATGCCTAACGAAAAACAACAACTTGTGGCTAATACCACAAAAAAGATAGCATCGAATCAAACAATACAATGCAAGTGCATTGACAAATTCTTTCAAATTGAATTGAAAGGGTATATTTTTAGGAGAGATTAATTTTTGGGAAAGAAAGTTTTTGGCCTTCTACTTCTCCATCTTGATACAAAAAATGTGGGAATATTCCAAAGAAAAGAAGGAATAAATTTCAAAAACTTAACACAAAGATGTGTAGATCATGAAAAGAAGTAACTTTCAGACACAAACTGGAAGTGAAAGCCCTCTCGAAACAGTTATTTTCATATAAACATTGAATTACACGAAAAAAATTCTTTCGAAATACTTCTATATGAACGGTGAATTATAGGAAAAACACTTTTCTGTATTCTGTTTGTATTTCAAAAATTCATAATGGTATTGAATCAGATATCGTTGACAGGGTTCCTACACAATATAATTAATGAAAAAGGAATAAATTTCAAAAACTAAACACAAAAATGTGTAGATCATGAAAAGAAGTAACTTTCAGGCACAAACTGGAAGTGAAAGCCCTCTCGAAACAGTTATTTTCATATAAACATTGAATTACACGAAAAAATTCTTTCGAAATACTTTTATATGAACGGTGAATTATAGGAAAAACACTTTTCTGTATTCTGTTTGTATTTCAAACATTCATAATGGTATTGAATCAGATATCGTTGACAGGGTTCCTACACAATATAATTAATGAAAGAAGTAAAATTTCACTGCTGATCATCCGATGTTTCGCCGTTAGACACTTGCCTTATCGGCTCTTCAGTAGCAAAAACGGATAACATTATAAGAAAAAACACTCAATTCGTTTATAATTACAATGGAGAAGTAGAAGGCCAAAAACTTCCTTTCCCAAAAATTAATCTCTCCTAAAAATATACCCTTTCACATTAAACAAGATTCCTATAGCTGGGATTTAATCAAATAAGCGAATGAATGTTATTTACGTACTGTCATCGACGACATGGGTTACATGTAAAAGAAAATTTACTTGTTTCATTAATTATATTGTGTAAAAATCCTGTGAATGATACCTGATTTGATTCCATTACGAATGTTTGGAATACAAACGTAATAGAGAAAAGTGTTTTTCGTATAATTCAGCGTTCATAAAAAGTATTTGTTTCGAAAGTATTTTTTTTCGTGTAATTCAATGTTTATATGAAAATAGCTGTTTAGAGCGAACTTTTTTTTCCAGTTTGTGTGTGAAAATTACTTCTTTGCATGATCCACACATCTTTGTATAGAGTTAATTTTTCGAAANTTAGAGCGAACTTTTTTTTCCAGTTTGTGTGTGAAAATTACTTCTTTGCATGATCCACACATCTTTGTATAGAGTTAATTTTTCGAAATTGATCCCTTCATTTCTTTGGAAGATTCCCATATGTTTTGTATCAAGATGGAGAATGGAAGACCAAAAACTTTCTTTCAACTGAAAATCATAAAAAATCTAATTCATAAGTTAAATCTAAGATAGGAATTAATTTGATTATTCAACCACATACACGAGTTTTCCACAAATTCATAGTGTATATTTTTTGCATAGCAATCATGTTCACGGTATCATTGATCTAGAGAGAATATGCCCATGTACGAGTCACTCTATTCAATATTCTTCTCGTGCTATTGAAGTTGTTTTTTATTTTCATTCGTGTTCGAAATGTATGTGTTTACATATGTTAGTACAACATGTAGTAAAACAACCGATATCACTCATAACTTCTGTTTACTACGAACGCTCTGCATTGCGATAAACCTACCAAATATATTCCTTTACTAAAACTATGTTTTACAGACAATGCATGACTTGTAGTGAATCAGTATTAATTTACCTAATATTGAAATGTAAACGAGCTATTACAAATGGAGTGATTCAGCTGAAACATTATTTCAATATTGTATACTGTTTTTTTGGGGTGTATGTATGAATACGACTTTTCAGTAGTTTATATTACGCAGAACTTTTCGAAGTGAACTTTTTAGTTTGCCTTTACTACACTTCAGCAGATTCTCTATTGATTTATCTTAATTTTTTCAGATTTTGGAAGGTTATAAACCACAAAAAATGTCGTTTAAAGATTATTTCAGTAGTAGCAAGGTCTATATTCGTGAGGTATATATTCTTTTCAGTGATAAGTTGAGATTTCCATCAAACATAATACTTCTCTTTGCACATGCGTACTTGATTAACTTGGTATCTTGCAGATCGTCACATCGTGCAAAGTAGAAAATCGATTAATTTTTTCCTTTTGGTTGTAAGAATAGACGCCATGTATGGTGTTTTTGTATTCGTTTTTATCTGCTTTAGTACTTATTTCTGTTGTGCATAATTTATATCTATTGATTTTTTTTAATAACAGATAAGAGCAATAGTAATGAAAATGAAATAATGCAATGAAAAAGTATCGATATCGGCAAGGTTCAGCCATCTCAAGATGGTCAAATCAGATTGATAGAACTCTAATATATGCACTCCACGTAATAGAAAAAATACATTTAAAGGAGCATATTTTTTAGAGAGATTGATTTTTGGGAAACAATGGTTTTGGCTTTCTACTTTCACCACATTTTTTTTGTAAAAAGATGGAGAAGTAGAAAGAAAAACGTAATCCATTGAACCTCACTGTGGTAACTCAAGAATCTTCTAATGATTAGAACAATAAATTCACCAACATTTGCTATAAGTACTAAATCAATATTGCAGCTCACAGATGAACTCATTAGTGGTAATAAGAGAAATGTTACCCATTACAGAACATTTATATGTGTTTAAGATAGCTGTCAGAAAGTAATTGATAAAACATGATTGTGGTAGTTCAACTGTATTTGCTAGTACAAAAGTAGCACTTTATTAAAAGCAAACAAAGGGATTCAAGGAAAATGGTGTCGTATGTGATGACAAATGAACTGATTTGACACCTAATAGCTACTTAAAATTTCTTTCAGTGTGATTACGGCTATCCAGCCTACAGCAGACGAATAAGAATCCAAAAGATGTTAGTTTTATTGAAGAACGCCTGGCTGGCTCATCAACACACTTATCAGATTGTGCTCTCTGTGTGTTTTTTATTCGTTTTTTGCTTCTCTACTCTCTTACATCCACTTAAGTATTGATCCCTTTCTCGTCGAACCCGTCCAATCTCTCCATTCTATCGTTTTCGAAGCGTCTGTTTCATTGAACAGATGGGTTGAAGCCATCACATCTCACTTAGGTGAAAGCTGAAATTGTATTCGCTAAATATGGTGAACAGTAATACAACGTTTCAGTAAAAATGATGCCTAAATTCGAAACTAACGTATCATTGTAGGTTACAGTTCACATTAAATATAACCAAATACCTGAATTACTAAAAGTTATAATATATTTCCGCAGTGGAATAATAAATCATTTTCGAATGCCTCTTCCATAGGCACACATAATGAGTCGATTAAAAAGTTAATTTTGATTAATTTTAAGTTAATTAATTTTAAACATTCATTGTTGTATGATTTGATATAATGATTCTCGAAAGATTTTTTATAGTTGTATGTGTACGGTGACTAACAGAAATATGGAACACTCGCAGTAATAATTGTTTTTTTTGAACAGTCAACAGTCAAGGAGTACAAGAGATTTCAATAAACACCCTTAGTGAGTAGTTAGATTGAGGGTTCACGAATTTGTATCGATTTATTTTGGAAACTTTAGGGGGATTCATGCACTCTGTCTCAAGTTGTAAGAAATCACAAGCAGTTTAATTTTCGGTAGCAATAGTCAGGCATGAACATCTGTTTAAAAAAAATCTGTTTTTCCGTTAATCAGCTGTCGCCCCCATACGAACGACAACTCTCAGAAGTTGAAAAACTTGTGCGAGCTAAGGACTAAAGAGGTCTTACCTTTTAACTTGTGATTCCTAACACGGTTGCAGAATCATCCCAGCTTGAACCAGATAAATTCTCTCGAGAAAAATATCTGGTCGAGGCAGGAATCGAACCCACGGTCTTCCGATCGTGAGTCAGGCGCACTACCACCGCGGCCAATTCCACAACATATTAGATATTACCTGACCTATACGTACTCATTATATTTATATGCAGAATCGTTCAGTTGTAAATAGACAGTTCAAACCATTTATATTATGAGATGAATAATGTTCTCAATACTACAGAATATTGAACGTCGATTGTTGTTTCAGGAAAATTGTCAGAATTATATCAGAATAATGGCGAGGAGTACAACAGGACGACTTCTACTTTGCGGAACGAATGCTTTCAAACCTCTTTGTCGGGATTATATAATTCACACAAAAAACTACACCGTGGAAAAAGAGAAACCTGGCCAAGCGGTGTGTCCGTATGATCCTCATCATAATTCGACGGCAATATATGTTGGTGAGTACTTGATTTTCATTACCACTATTTTTCCTTAACATATTTTTTCAAATGTGAGAAAATTGGTGCAGCGTCATTTAGGTTGACTTTTATTTTTGGAGGTCTGCAAATTGGATTTAAGAAAATGCCTAACCACAGGACTTCTCTGTAGAGAGTGAGTTGTTTAGTGAATGTTTCAAATGAAACCAGTTTTTATGAAATCACCATTTGCGAACTTGTAAGAACATATCAATAATTGAACTGCTACTATTGCAAAATTTCGGTGTCGTATTGTCTCCAAATATCCTAATTTTTAACAAAAAGGGAGTGGCGAAACACAAATTGTTGAGAGCATACCGATTTTAGGAAGAAATTGTTCAATATTTTTCAGTTCTGTTGCAGGAATAGATTGTTCAAAAATATTTTCTATATTTTTTTTGTATTGAAGTTATCTACTGTACATGGAAAGGGGTATTATTTTCTTGTAACTAACCAATCAAAAACACTAAATTTTCAAAGTGCAACTGTACTCTCAAATATGATGAGTACAGCCTCATGTTGGGCGGCACAATAGCCGGTTGGGTTGGCGTGAGTAGTTTGTTCCACTCATTCATTCTCTGGTCAAACTTTTTTCTCCAGCTCTGAAAAATAAAACGAGGTTTCACTCGATTCGGAATAGCGTGTAGATGTTTTTTTTTAATGAAGTGCCGCTTGCAAGAATGGCAAAAGTCATAAACAAATAATTGAAACAAATGGTTTGGTTTTTTACAAATCTCTCAAAACCCATTTGACATTTTTAGAATTTGAAAAAGAATTCAAAAAGGGGAGAAATTTTTCCCAAAAAAGTCCTGCCTTCTGGAACTATAGGACTTATCTTTATTATTTTCCCAGAGGGTTGAAAATACGTCATAAAACGGATACTCTTGATTCCGCAAGACACGGCCACTTTGGACCTTCAGTAGAAAAATATTTATTTCAACGTATTAAATGTCAAAGTTAAGAAATGAAAAAATCGAGCACCCATTGAATAAAGGAATGAACAATAATCCACAGTCAAAAAATGTTCATCTTTATTTTCCAGTTTATTATGCATTAATTAATAAACATTTTTTTCTGCACAAACAGGAACATTGCAAGTGTGATAGCTGTCAAATAACAAATCTTTTTTTTTGGAGATAGTTTTGAAAGGTCTCCAACAGATTCACGTTTGAAAAATGAGAGAAATTATTATTTTTCAATTTGTAATCAACAATTTACTTGGTTAAAAAATTAAAAAGCTTCATTGATCATTCAAAATCATTTTTTCAAAATTACTTTAGATCTGTTCTTTTATGATGAGAAGCTACATACATTGTTTTTCAAATTTTATCTACTATTGTTGAAAATTGTTATGAACAAATTTGTTGTTCATCAGATGATTTTCTTTTTTTTTGTAGAAACAATCTTTGTGGCAAATTATGATTTTAAAAAGAAATGGTTTCCAGAAAATGACTTTATTAATTAATTTTTCTGTACCACTTGTAATCAATATTAAAGAAGCATTCTTTCAAATCATAATTCATCTTGCTCTTTGATAACAAAAAAAATGTTTTATGTAAATTATTATTGTTTATTCAATGAACAATTTGTTAAAAAACAATTGATGAATTGTTTCTATATATGTTTTCTCTTTCTACATAATGTAACAATAGAAACTATAGCATTTCTTGAGAAAAATAATGTATTTATATTTTATATCGATTTTTGTAAATTTTGTTCTCCTTTACTCCATCATTCTCACCTGGTTTTTTATGTTTATACATATAACTTATAAATCTGATACAAAAAAGGGATGAGATAATCTTCTAAAGAAAGGAAGGAAGTAATCAATTTGAAACTCTATACATGAATGTGTAGATCATGCAAAGAAGTAACTTTCAGACAAAAACTGAAAGAAAGTCCTCCTGAAACAGCTACTTTCATATAAACATTGAATTACACGAAANTAGCATAAATAGGGTTAGCTCGCATTAGTTTCTAGTTTTAATCTTCCTCTTTGAAAATGATCACTTGGTGATCGAAACACGTGTCGAGGTGTTAAAAATAACGATTTGGTGTTGGAAAAAACTCCAGTAATATTCTAGAAAACCGATGCCAATGATCTTCGATAACATTTTCATATAATCAATGGATTAATCAAAGAAGAAGTCCTGACAACCCCTCCCATTTCATTATAAAACGACTTATTCTTACATCACCTTTCATTACAAGTTTAATCATGAATTTATTCAGCGAGCGTGGAAAGCTTCCGTCCGACATTAAAAAAGCTGAATCAAACACAAGCTCACGCAAAATTCATCTCTACATTATGCATTTTTCAATTTAGCTTCCTCAGAGAAAACGAGGAAGCACTCCACATTAACTGGCGTATTTTGTATTCGTGTTCTCAGATGTGGATTTGATTGCGGCCTCTTTAAAAATTCATTCAATTAACGAATCGATGGAAAAGTCTCGGAGAAACTTTTCGACTGGAATGAGTGGAGCAGTCGCATCAGAGGAACTTCAAGGAAATCAATAGTGATATTTCTACCTTTTATCGATATTTTTTGCCACCGCTTTCTGAAGATTGATTTCTGGTGGGCATTCGAGTTGATTGAAACTGTTCGAAGTTTTAGATGGATTTCCTTTGCGCTATTTGTAAGTATTACGTAGAAGTGTGGAAACTTGGTGAAAGGAAAAATGTAGATATCAAAAAAAAAGTATTTTCGAATCTCAAAACCACTACACGTATAGAATTGCCATCTAGTGTAACATACAAGATCCCATGTCGAAATTAAGATTATATTGGGCAAACGAAACGATATTTCTAAACTTATTCTAAAAACACTTTATTGTGTGATTTTCACTAGACAGTTTTACAAAAACGCAACACGTGTTTCGCCGTACAATGGCTTCCTCGGGCGTGTCTTAATAACTAATTCTACACATTCAGTGCTATATATATATACACCTCATTCTACAATTTGAAGTACCTGAATTTCAAGTATCTGGTTCCTGGATCTGGAATTCCTGAATCTATTGATTTCTAAACATTCTAGAAGATTGAGTTTCAAACTCTTCTCTTCTAAATGTAACACCTGTATAATAAATACTTTTTCATGAAATAGTGATTTTGTTAACATGCCGTTAACATGGAATTTTTCGTACAAGACTTTTTTCAATGAAAAATTACTGCACGGCATTAATATAGTCATATACTATGTTATCGTTTACACTTCTGAGAAAAAAATTATGGATCTGGGAGAAATACAATACAAAATGCGAAGATTATACAATATGGATAACATTATAAAAAAACTCCTCTTTCTGTTAACTCTTAAACGGGACCTAAATAAGTAGGTAGGTATTATTTTCAGTACTTTCTGGTGAAAAACACAATAATGCGACGTCACTGAGAAGGCACTAATTTTTTTTTAGGAACATGAGTCTCGTAATATTTCCTATTTCAATTCTTTATTCAAACATTTATTTTTGAAAATCAGACAAGCAAGTACTTGGTTAATTTTGACACTTTTATATTCTATTCACTATCTGCAACCTTACTGAGTATCATAATTTAAAAAATTTTCAAAATCTACCCGTTTTATAACACTCAATGTTCAAATATTCATTTTTCACTTTCTGGCAATAATTTAGTCTGTTCACAAATTCATTTTTCACATTTTGGAATTTTCTAGAGTAATTGTAAGTTATACCATTTTTCTAGTAAATAAATATAATGGAATACCATAATGATTCTACATACATACGAAATGAATAGGTTAGGACCTGTGAATAATAATTTAACATTGATGGAATAAATATAGAATTATACCTAGAAAATATTTCAGTTGCAGTTGAAACGTTTAGAGATTATATCCAAAGAAGACCACGGCAAAACGGAAACCAATCAGAACATTGATGCCAGCCGTGAAAGCCTATATTCCTGAATAAATTCGATTTTTTTCAATTATTATTTACAAAAATTGACTTTCGTTTCATTTAAATAAAAATCCGAAAAAACATCATTGTAAAATTATTTCTGACATAAATTATCTTCTGGTATTCAATTAATGCGAAATCTCAAATATACGGCATGAGTAGGGTGAGTGCACCAGTAATTGACCGGTTGAGAGCTTTCTCTCATAAAATAGGTTATAGTTATCAAACCGTCAACTTTTCATACAAATCAAAAATACATACAAGAAGGACCAAGTTTTAGGCTTCTAAATATGATATACTTCATTCTAGAAAACGTGAAATTTTGTTACAAAAAAATTGAGAATAACAAAAGTCATGAATCACCAGTAATTGACAAGCTAGAACCACTATTTGACCGCGATTAGACCCAGAGGTTGACCACTTGATGAAATGAAATGAAACACGTTGTTATATTGAATTATTGAAATATTTTCATGGAGAAAGACACATTTGATTTGAACAAACACTCAAATAAAATTTTGAACAGAAAATTTCAAAAATGTTCAAATGACATCTTTGAGAAATTTATAGTTGATTCGACTTCCGGTTGTAACAACACTTGGGGGATATTCTAGTCTCTTCACAAGTTGCTCGGCATTCACAACACATATATGGTTTTCAATGATTTTAAAAACATTCTTGCTTTCTTCTATCGGTGTGAAAGCATGTACTTCAACTTCACCTGGGTCATAAATACTTCGAACAGAGCAAGCATACTTATGGTAGGTTTTCTGGTATGGTAGGCTGGAAAAGCAACCAGATAAAAGTCACCTACTGCAATATCTTTCTTCACTTTCTTCCCAATGGAGGCTAGTGGTTCATCTTCACTGTCACTGCTGAAATGTTCTGTGATATCATCCAGACTTGATCCACATCGACTCTCCTGCCATTCCTCATATTTACTTTCCTAGCTATCTATTGCTTTATTGACTTTTCTTTTTATTTTCTTCATTTCCTTTCTTTTGAGAGGATTCTCCTTCTCGGGTTTGTTCAAGTTCTCCTCTTGCTTCTTTTGTCTCAAA